CTCAAGTACAAAAGGTCCGTGGTTTAAAAAAGTTTACAAACAACCTATTTTCAATAAACAAAATGTTAAGCTACTCTAGATGACGTCGATGCGTCCTTTCGAGACTCGGAGGTGAATCAAGGAAGAAATTAAGGGAGTTGATTCGGTGCCCGGGCGGTAGACAGAAGTAAGGCGAATGTTGGGGCGGCCCATATCCCTCATGGGCTCTCCCTCGGTTTGCATGTTTTAACCTCACCCTCGATTCAGACGGTCAGACCGAAGTATCACATGACATGAGCCCCATAGGCTATCCCTAACTTCATCTGAGGAGGCTTCCGAAATGATGGCTTGGCAGGCGCAAAAAGTCATCTTCGGAGATACCCCCAAAGGAAGCATAGCAGGTGCACCATCACCCAAACCTTTGTGTTCTCCTTATGAACACAAAGGTTGTTTGGCTGAGCTGCTACCTGAAATCGCCACCGACGACAGGACGGTGATCATCACGTCAGAGAACGAAGCATTTGGGCGAGGCCTAACTCGTTGCTCGGCCTGTTCCACGAGAGCTTTCGGGCCGGCGAGGGAACCAAACACTTCCTTGACCATGTCCTTGTCGTCGCCGTCGACGCTGTGGCGTTCGTCCACTGCAAGGCCGTGCACCCACACTGCTACCTCCTCGAGGTGAAGTCCTCCAGGAACCTGAGCTCCGAGAACAGCTTCTTGAGCGAGGCCTACGTGGAGCTCGTCTGTGTTGATATCTTCCGTGCGCGCGCCGGTGACGATTAAGTCATCCACATACACGTCGACCACGAGTTCTTCCTTCCCCCGTCGTCACGTGTAGAGCGCGTGCTCGGTTGCGCACCTCTGAAACCCAAGCTCGTCCAGCGTGGTGAAAGCTTGGCGTTCCATGTTCGAGGAGCTTGCCTCAGCCCGTAGAGCGCTTTGCGCAGTCGGAGCACCCTGTCCTCCTCTCCCTTGACAGCGAACCCTGGAGGTTGCCTGACGAAGACCGTTTCCGCCAGCTCGCCGTTGAGGAAGGCCGATTTAATGTCCAAGTGATGGACGCGCCAGTCCTTTGCTGCCGCCAAAGCAAGTAGCAAACGGACCGACTCCATGCGCGCTACTGGTGCAAAGACCTCCTCGAAATCGATGCCCTCGCGCTGGACAAAGCCTCGGGCGACGAGGCGCGCCTTGTACTTGACAATGGCGCCGAGCTCGTCCCTTTTGACTTTGTACACCCACTTCAGGCTGATCGGACGGCATCCTGGGGGTGGATCGACGAGCTGCCAAGTCTCGTTTTTCTCAATCGCCTTCATCTCCTCCAGCATTGCCCGTCGCCAGTTTTCATCGCGCTCGGCTAGCGCGAACGTGGGTGGTTCCTCTGCACTGACGAGTAGCAGCTCTGCGTCGTTGAGCAGCCTACCCGCCAGACCTGAGGGACCTGTGCCGCCGACGATGTCGTCCAGACTGCGGAACCTCAACTCCTCACCTTCGTGGTAGGCGTCCACGAACTCAGTGATGTCACTTGGAGGTGAGGTGAACTTGATCGGGGGTGATGGAGTTCCTTCTTCCGCCGGAGTGCCCTGCATAGCACCTGAAGTGCTCGGCACTGCTTCTGGACTGCTCGTCATAACTCCTGCAGTGTTCGGCCACACTGTAGGAGTGCCCAGCCTCAGTCTTGGAGTGGTCGGAACCACAGTAAGACGTCTTGGCTCCGCCACGGGAGTGCTCGGCACCCGTCCTGAAGTGGTCGCCACCACTGCAGAACCTCCTGGCTCCACTCCTGGCGTGCTCGGCATCCCTCCAGAAGTGCTCGACACTCCTCCCGGAGTGCTCGGCATCCCTCCTGAAGTGCTCGGCACTGCCCCAGAAGTGCTCGACTCTACCGCCGGAGTGCTCGGCGCTCCTCCCGGAGTGCGAGACACCTGTTCCGCAGTGTCTCCACCGTCGTGGATGATCAAGTGCTCGACGACGAAGGTGTTGGTGAAGCCTCCCTCTTCCCCCTTGGTCGGACTGTGCCAGTCCCAAGCTGCCTCCTCGTTGAACACAACGTCGCGCGAGACAGTCACCTTGTCTCCGCGTGGGTCATAGAGCCGGTACGCCTTGGTACCCTCCGCGTAGCCCAGGAACACCATGGGTGTGCTCCTGTCTTCCAGCTTGGTGAGGTTCGGCTTCGTCTTCCTGATGTGGCCGATGCAACCGAATGTCCGGAGGAATGACACGTTCGGCTTGCTCCCGTAACAAGCTTCGAACGGCGTCTTGCCCGTTAGGGCTTTGGTTGGAGCGCGGTTGAGGATGAACACCGCCGTGGTCACCGCCTCTCCCCAGAACTTTGTCGGCATCCCTTTGGCCTTCATCATGGATCAGGCCATGCCGACCACTGTCTGGTTCCGTCGCTCCACCACGCCATTCTGTTGTGGCGAGTACGACGCGGTGTGATGTTGCCCCACACCTTGATCCGCGCAGTACGTAGCAAACTCCACCGAAGTGAATTCGCCACCCCGATCAGTCCTCAATACATGGAGCTTCTTGCTGCTCTCGGCCTCCGCGCGCGTCTTGAACTTCTTGATCGCCACTGCCGCTTCGTCCTTGCTCGTCAGGAGTTGCAGCCACATGTAGCGACTGCAATCGTCCACGAGTAGGAGGAAGTACCGCCGACCACCGTATGTAGCAGGCGTGATCGGCCCGCAGAGGTCGCCGTGAACTAGCTCGGGAGCTTCCTTCGTGCAATACTTGGCCGCCTTTGGGAAAGGTAGCCTCCTCTGCTTCCCGGCCAGGCAGCTGTCACACAACTCGCCTCCGTGTTTGATGTGGGGTAGCCCTCGGACCATCTTCCCCAGCCGACCAAGCGCGTCGAAGCTGAGATGTCCGAACCGGGCATGCCATATCCATGGTTCCTCGGAGTGCCTTGCCGCCAGGCAAACCGGCTGCTCTACCTTTAGGTCGAGCAGGTACAACCGGTTCAGGGACCTCTTCACCTTGGCGAGAAGTCGCTGCTCCCGGTCTCTGATCCTTAGAACGCCGTCCTTGATCAGAACCTCGCTACCGCGCTCATCCAGCTGACCAATGCTGATGATGCTGGAATGCAGCTGCGGGATGTAGTATACATCCATTAGCGCGTGGTGCTCCCCGTTCTGGCATCTGAAGATGATGGTGCCGCACCCTTGGATAGCCACCCTTGAGCCGTCACCAAACTTCACCGTACCGGTAACATCACCGTCGAGCTCGGAGAAGGAGTCATTGGAGCCCGTCATATGGTTACTGGCACCAGAGTCCAGATACCACCGCTGCTTCTGGTCGACGCCCACATGCCCAAGATGGACTTGGGCGCGTGGTTCGTCGAGGTTGACGGTCTTCAGGGCCTTGCTAGATCCTTCCACCATCGTCGCCTCTTCCCTCTCCATGGCCTCGACGTCGTGCAGTGCACAGAACGTCGCCATAAGGATAGTGGCCTCATCCTCATCATCGGCTTTCGCCAGGTGAGCCTAAGCCTTCTTTTCCTTCTTGCGATTTGGGCACTCCCGTGCCCAATGGCCCATCTTCCCGCAACACCGACAGCCCTGCCGCGATGTTTGCCATTGCCACCGCGACTGGAGGAGGCTGCCTTCTCGGAGTTTCGCCGAGCAGCCCACTCCTCTTCCGTCAGCATGAGTTTCCCGCTGTCCTTCGTTACTGTCACCTGCTCCAGACGCTCGTCCACCGCCCGCAGACGGCCTGCCACATCCTTGATGGTGAGGGTGGACAAGTCCAGCATCATCTCTATAGAGAGAGCGATCTGGATGTACTTTGCCGGCACGGAGTGAAGGAATTTGGAGACCGCCTCCTCTTCATCGATGGTGACGCCATGGCTCTTCAGCTTACTGATGAGCGTCTGCAGGCGGAGGGAAAAGTCCTCCACTGTTTCACCATCCTTGAACTTGAGGTTTGCATACTCCTGCTTCAGAAGCTGGGCCGTTGCCTTCTTTGCGCGGTCGGAACCGACGCGCATCGCCGCAATGGCCTCCCACGCCTCCTTAGCTGAGCTCTTCGTCCTCAACGGTTCCCTATACTCCGCCAGTACAGCAGCGAGGATAGCCTCCAACGCTGACATATCGTCTTCTTCCATGTCGGTGCCCTTGTCAACAGCATTCCAGAGCCGTCGGACTCTGAGCTTGACCTTTATGGTCACCGACCACTCTCCATAGTTAGTGCGAGTCAGCGTCGGTCAAGTGGTGCCGCTGACCTCCCGCACCGTACGGACAACTACCTCCGGTAGTGGCTGGGCAGCTATGACAGTGCCACTGCCATCGCCCAACTCCAAACCGCCTGTCCTCGCCATCGGTTAGAATGACGACGACGCTTGTATGGTTCTGATACCACTTGTTGGCCCACGGGATCACCGTCTGACGATAGTGAACTAGTCTCCAGACCACTAGTCTTAGACCACTAGTCTCCCAGATCAGACCACTAGTCTCCCAGACCACTAGTCTCCCAGACCACTATACTCCCAGACCACTATACCAGTTGTGTCTGTACCCACACACTATAGATCGAGCTAGAAAAAGAAGGGAGAACAGAGCAAGCACGCACAATACAAGACAACAACGTTGGCCGAGGCCATGTCTGTGTGATGGCAAATCTGAGCTCTCTTTACTGAGTTGCCTTGGTGCCCTATTTATACAACTCTATTTATCTAACTAAAGTACAGCACATATGCTGTAACAGTAACTAGATAAGTATACATGGCTGACTCTGCGCCGGCCACTGCATGTGCCTACAGTGCTGTAGGTGAGCCATGCGGCGTCTGCACCTACAGCGGCTACTGTATTACAGCAGGGGGCAAAGTCGGCGCCGTCTTCCTCTGCTGTGTTTCACACAAGATGGTAGTAGATTAGTCTGTGCCAAGCTCTCGCTGCAGCAGCGCGTCCTCGAGCTCGGCTACCATTTCTTCTTCACCTTCACGGTACGCCATCAGCCATCCATCGAAGCTCAAACGATTTAAGCACGGATGCAGCGCATTTTAGATTATGACCTGAAGATGCATCATGGCTGCACGTCCGGCTGAGATCGTCTCTCTGCATGCAGGACGTGGACGTCGTGTGGTATGCGCAAGCGCAACCCGTTCCGGCACATCAGCGTGTTTCGCGGACATGACGACGTCGAGCGACGACGCCAACAGCCTTGACGACAACTGGTCCAACACCGGCTTCTACTACGTCAAGGCGACGAACCGGACCGTGGAGATGCTGCGGCAGTGGCGGGCTGCGCGGCGGAGGTTCCCGCCGAACCACGGGCAGGCCATCTTCAACGAGATCAAGCACGAGCTTGCCGCCGCCCTCGGGGTGCGCATCCAGTTCCGGCCTCGACACGGCGCGTTTCGCTGGCTTCTGCCCGATCTTCCACAGCAACATGGGCGCGGCGTGCACCATGCACGCCAACTGCTGCTTCGGCCTCGCTAACAAGCTGCACGACCTCAGGGAAGTGCTCGGCCAGTGGAGGAACTACACTGGCCTGACGCCGCAGGAGAAGAAGAGCCGAAAGTTCTTATGGAAAAGGATCCTGCCAAGTGCGAAACGCCGGACAAAAAGAACTGATCGATAAATACATGATCATGCATCCCTAGAGGCAACTGGGCTGCGTCCCACGAAGAATATAATTCTCAATTTTCAAGGACAAATTAGTCAAGAACAAATAAAATGGTATATGTATCCCTACACAGACTTTATTTTATCTGTATGTACATGTGTTGGTTGGACCAAGGCAAGTCAAGTGATCACATCCACAAACTCTATATTTTATTACTATTAGTAAATCAATTTCTAGAGTTGTCTTATTAGGTCAAATATTTTTAAATTTGATCAAATTTATAGAAAAGGAATCCTGCTGAGATTTATGACACCAAATTAGTGTTATTAGATACACTATAAAATATATTTTACAATATGCTCATTTGGTGTCATAAATATTTATGTTCTTTTATAAATTTGTATTTATGCTCTTTTATAAATTTAGACAGATATAAAAAATTAATTTAAGACAACTCTAGAAACTTATTTATTCGAAGACGAAGGGAGCACATATATGTGGCAACCTTTTTTTAGGGCACCATAAAACTAGAGTTGTGGATCCCAAACTAAAGCTAGAGTTGAATCCTTTTTGGATAATATTTGAATATTAGAATTGTATTCTACCCTAGTTAAAGGGACACTTTTTTATATGATATTTTCAAATATAATCCATGGATTCATGGATGTACAAAAATCAGCATTGTAGTTACCTATCTACTCCCTATGTTCCAAATGTCCTATGAGTAAATCAAAACTTTAATTAAGTTTATAGAACTAACGTCTACGACAATAAATTACAACATTTATTTTAACTGATACTCCTACATGTTAACATTTTTCTAAAACAATTGGTTAAAATTAGAGATGTTTGGCATAGTCAAAAATTAAGTGACATACTATAGTCTGAAATTGTGATTGTGTTGGCAATGCTTTTTACGATTGACGAGTAGTCGTATGAATCACATACAGTAAATCAGAATGATAGCACATGGGGCGCAGAGTTTAACTAGTTTAGGTGGGTGCACCATGTCTCGTGTATATGTGGTCAAGTGAAGCTTAACCTATGTTATATTAGCTCTTGTCGTAGCCATGTTGTGATATCTATAGTTTAGCTTTCAAATTTTGATTTTATTAATTGCCAGAATTTTAAGCCTGTATTTTAAGTTAAAACACTAGTGTTTATTATATTCTTTTTTTGGTAATCTTAAAATAAGTCACCATCACCTTTGTATTCTATTCAAAAATAGATTCTAGATCAAATATTGCAGTCTTTGTTCAAATATAGGTAATTATTAGTAGTATGTGCATGTAACTTAGATGCAAATTTCATGTTGTTTTAATTTATCTATTTTCCAAAAGTAGCATGTATGGGTAACTTTTTAGAAAATATAGAATAGATCAATAACTATTATTGTTAATGATGATTAGAATCTACTGAACCGATGATGGGATATTTCTACATTTTATAAAAAATAGAATTTATATTTATCCTATCATGTCTTGAGGGAGTTATTATGAAGGCTTCCAATTATAATTAATTAGTTTCTATCCCTTTCTTTAGAAGTAGCTTAAAAAGTAAATTGCCATATATATACTACATTGTTTTTTAAACGAATCAGGCAGGAGAGCTGTTGACTATATTAAAAGATAAGAAGCCCAGATTAGCTAGGTAATACAATGAAACAACAGTAACCCTGAAGGGTCTAGCAACAACAACACAATTGAAGCAACCGAAACAGCTAATAACAATTGCTGGTTGGAATGGGACATCAACACACAATAGAAGCAGCAACTCGCACCCACCACTGCTATAGACCAAAGACCTAACCCTCCACAAGTTGAAATCTAAATTGTCATGTATACTATATTGTTTTTTAAACAATCAAGTGGGAGAGTCGTCGATTATATTAAAAAGAATAATTGTCGTGCAAGGCTAGTCACCGCCCACGAGGCTCACTTCATATCATCATCCAATATTCATGCCATATTAACTTATCATAATGATGATTTGGTTTTGGTGCGGTCATATGGCTCAGTATCACTCACTAAAACGGGAATTTTCCTTACTGTGCAATTTACTGATAGGAAAACTAAAAATCAATTTCTTTGACGATGAACCTACTGGAAATAACCGACATGATAGAGCAATATAGAGAGAGAAAAAATGTGTAAAGGCCCACCGTTAGAAACCATTTTCCTATCGATTTAGAGCCACAGAAAAATTATTTTTCGAGGGGTCTAGGAATTTATCTCTGTCATCAACAGCGACACAAATATGACTCAACACCGTAAGGATAATTTATCAATGTGGGGTATTTAAATACAAACAGGATAATTAATTTTCCTATCAGTAACCGTTACTCATAGTATAAAATTAAAAATTGTTGATGACCCACCGTTAGAAAGGACTTTTTTTATCAGTTAGAGCCCGACAGGAAAATTAATTATTTTCAACTGGTCTCGAAATTTATCTCTGTCATCAATAGCCAATAGAAAAAATGACCTCCGTACTATAAGTATATTTTTTCTCTGTGTGCTAATTAAAAACTGATAAGATAATTAATTTTCCCATCGGTAATCTCACAGAATAATTATATATTTTTCTATCGGTTTTAATTTTCCTATGTGATTTTTAACTGACAGTTTAATATTAATTATCCTGTCGGTTGCTCTAATAACCATAAAAGACTAATCACCGCTAGAGAAATTCCAAAGGTGAGCAGACGGTGGCTGTATATATCGGTGTAGGAGTACTTCTAGAAAATGTACTTGCGTTGTTCTAAACCATCGCACAACGGTGGTTGACAAGGAAAACCGCTGGTAGAGCTTGTTCCCATCGCGCGCGGTTAGCACATGCGTGCGTGTAAAATCGTACTTGTGCTTAAACTAATACTACTAGTGATCAGACATCACGGCAGGTAGAGGTAGTTGTCCCCTATGACCGTATTGGCTAACCGCTGCGCAGGAGTCGTATATGATGACAAAAAGAAATACGTACGACAGCCTTGTGACGATTTAGAAAGATAGTTCTCAAAAAAACGATTTAGAAAGATGGGGAAAAAGAAAATTAAAGAGCTTTTCTTGGTTGGCAAAAAATGGAAGTTTTATTCAGTTGGTGAGATGAACCATTGGATGATGAAGATCCAAAAACATATCCCAGCTTCAAGGTTAGAAATATTCTAACAGTACGAATTATTTGTTTTCCGTAGAGGATATTACTGAGTCAGAGGAAAATTATGACCCGGTAATCTCGACCGATTCATGCTTATTGGACCATTGGACAAAAGTCGACCTTGACCGTGTGTAACCAAGATTTAGCCAACGAGACGAAGTTTAGGAAGTGCGGAAATGAAGGGGAACGAAAAAACCTTGCGTATAAGCGCCTGCACAGCCTATCTCACTACCGGAGACCGGCTCTTCGCCGAGTGCCAGGTTTGTCGAGTGTTGTTTTTCGGGCACTCGGCAAAGCCGTCTTTGCCAAGTGTTTTTTTTAACACTCGGCAAAGAGGCTCTTTGCCGAGTGTTTTTTTTAACACTCGGCAAAGAGCTTCTTTGCCGAGTGTTATTTTTTTTTACACTCGGCAAAGAAAATTTCAAAGCATATTTTAAAGCAGTAAATTAATTTAAATGAAAAGGTTTTCAACTACAAAGTTGTATAACTCATCAAGATGTACAATGTTTGTTTTGATCTTTTCTTCATATGACAAAGTGAAAGTAAATTTGTTCACAAATCTAACATATCTCTCTTGTAGTTTATGAAACTACAAGAGAGATATATAAGATTTGTGAACAATGTTAGAACGACCATGTCGGATGAATAGATGATCAAACAACCGAAATAAACTTTGTAGATCTCGAAAACTTATGAAACTTTATAATTGACAACTTTTTTATTTGAAATCATCTTGTCATGCAAAATTACGTTTGAATTTCAAAATTTTAAAATTAAAATTTTGTAAATGACCTCGGATGGGAAAACTTCCTAAATTAAAAGTGTAGATCTCGAAAAGTTATGAAACTTTCTAGTTTACAACTTTTTTATTTGAATTCGTTTAGGGCCTCAAACATGCAATTTACACTTGGCAAAAAAAACTTTTCTTTGCCGAGTGTTTTTTTTAACACTCGGCAAAGAGGCTCTTTGTCGAGTGTTTTTTTTGACACTCGGCAAAGAGCTTCTTTGCCGAGTGTTATTTTTTTACACTCGGCAAAGAAAATTTCAAAGCATATTTTGAAGCAGTAAATTAATTCAAATGAAAAAGTTTTCAACTACAAAGTTGTATAACTCATCAAGATGTACAATATTTGTTTTGATCTTTTCTTCATATGACAAAGTGAAAGTAAATTTGTTCACAAATCTAACATATCTCTCTTGTAGTTTATGAAACTACAAGAGAGATATATAAGATTTGTGAACAATGTTAGAACGACCATGTCGGATGAATAGATGATCAAACAACCAAAATAAACTTTGTAGATCTCGAAAAGTTATGAAACTTTGTAATTGACAACTTTTTGATTTGAAATCATCTTGTCCTGCAAAATTGTGTTTGAATTTCAAAAATTTAAAATTCGTACTTTTCAAATGACCTCGGATGAAAAAACAACCAAAATAAACTCTGTAGATATCGAAAAGTTATGAAACATTGTAGTTGGCAACTTTTTGATTTGAAAACATCTTGTCATGCAAACCTGCATTTGAATTTCAAAATTTTAAAATTCGAACTTTTCAAACGACCTCGGATGGAAAAACAACCAAAATAAACTATGTAGATCTCGAAAAGTTATGAAACATTGTAGTTGACAACTTTTTGATTTGAAAACATCTTGTCATGCAAAACTGCGTTTGAATTTCAAAATTTTAATATTCAAATTTTGTAAATGACCTCGGATGG